GGGAAAGAGATCCCTGCGTACTGTTTGAATATTAGATAATAAAGCATTTTGAGATCTTTCAGAATTAGAGAATCTGCATGGTTATCACCACCATTCATCTTGGTAATCGTAAATCTTGTAAAATTCTAGCTAGTAATTTTTATTGCAGTAAAGATTTTGTCTTGGATGAACCTGTCTGAAGGACGTAAGTAAAAAGAAATTGGTTATGTCCTTCTGTTATACATAGCAGCTACTGTTGTACTGACGTGTGAGCTCATTTATGTCTTGCATAGCCATGTAACTTTTCTGTTCGTTCAAAAAGTGGATCAGAGATACTCAGTCCATAAACTCAAGTTCTGACTTTCTGAACCAAAGCAAACCCACGTGGCCAGAGTTGGGTTTGGTCACTAAACTGTTCACAGAAGACCTGATCCAAAGCTACTCATCCTGTTGTAAAGTCAGTTTGGTTTCCCTGACAGAGAAACTTTCTTCCAAATAAAGCCTGTTGATTTTCTTTTTGTCCAAGTGATGACAGCCATAGCTATAGTCATGTCACATGAACTAATCTGTTTCCTCTACTTGTTTGTAACAGGCTCATTTCATTGCCCTAAGAAAAAGCCCTTCTTCAGTGGAAGCAGGAAACACAGCTCATTTGGTGGCACGAGCTGCAGTTGCCTCTAAGAAATCAGACCATAATGGTGAGCTCTTTTAAAAGTTGTATGGCTTATCAAGCTATCCTACCTGTAGGAATGCAAGCTTCTGCTAACATGGCCCACTGCACCAGTAATATAACTTCTGTACAAAGTTTATATCTCGGTTGGTAAGTGGGATTATAAAAGAGTAAAACTGATCCAATGCTTTTCCTAGTAGCAGAGTAGATTTATTGGGCCCTCATTGACATTGTTTATTTCATTTTACAGGCTGTGTAATGACTGTGGCATTATTGTTTCTCAAGGCATCTGGGGTACTTTTTTTTTCATGATACATATCACTCTGTGTTCTCCTTCTAACTAATCCTTTGCCTTTTATGAGCAGTATCTAGGTCACTAGAGGGAATAATAAAAGCAGACTTGAAGCCACAGAAGCCTCTAGTTTGTGGTTAGTCATAACCTGATGGCAATTCCTGGCTATTTAATCAGGATGTCAATCACAACATGCATCTAGAGCGATGGACGCTTGCTGTAACCAAAATCTACTTGATGGTGGATTCAGAACTATTTTTAGATGTATGATATAGCCTCACAACTAATAGTTGAGCTAGAAACAGAGAATTTCACTCAGCGAAGTTGAAACGTAACCTAGAATAGGGAGCTCGGCAAAGGTGCTATTTAATATTTAAGCCCAAACTTGTAGCTCTAGATGTAACATGGAGTGGTGCCACCTGGACCTGCGCAGATCCAAATGGAAGAAAAAAACTGTTCACTTCTTGCAAAGTGAACTCAAGGTATAGTGAAAACTAGGAAATGACTCAAGACAAACCAGGCCCTCCCAGCATAAAAGAAATAATTTAAGTCTAAATGACTGGAACTACTCAGAGCTAAAAATTGGCAGGCTATCCCACAGTATGTCGCCCACCATATGCTGACTATCCATTGGTCACATCAGTCATATGTGGGGAGATGGTATTTCAAAAGAGAATGATTTATGTACTGGATTTGAATGGTTTATAAAGTGCCACTGGTAAAGTACTTTCATGCATATTTTAAAAGGCTGTTTAGGTGACTGGAGAGAGGAAGGCCATGCAAGAGTTGAGGATGGTAAGTTAATAAAAGGAAAACAAATAGGGGGAAATAAAAACTCTTGCCAGCAGCAGTCAGTTTTGCCAGCCGATGTGATGGGCATTAGGAAACTGTTTAGTGTTTCTTCAGGATTCTTTGAATTAACAGGTTTTCCTCCATGTTTTGTTCCCTTAGAATAATCTCTCTCTGCCCAGAGTGAAGACATCAGTTACTCTTTTTAGGTTTAAATATTATTTTAAGTCTAAAAGAATAGGGGAAATAGATGTAAATTCCTTATGGGGAAAGCCAAATCCTGCAGTCACATCTTGGTTCCTGCTAATCAGAATTGATTACTTGCATTACCCCTTACACCTCTTTTGTCCATGGAGTCATTTCCTTTTCTTTTCATTTTTCTTCCTGGGTCGTATTACATTGAATCAGGTTGGAGTGGTCCCAACTGGCAAGGGACCCCAGGGGTCAACTTGCTAGCCTAGGGATGCTCCCCTAGCTCAGTGTGGTTGGGAGGTGGGGAATAGCTGGGACATGAGGGTGCTCTGGTCAGCAGGCAGCTTCCATACTGAAGCACCCTCATGTCCTAGCCAGTCTGGGCAGCATGTACACATGTACTGCTGCAAAGTAAGAAACTCTGCAGCAGGATAGTACTTGTATTACATTGTATTGTATAGTATAGTACTTGTATTGTATAGTACTTGTATTTACAAGTACTATCCTGCTGTGGAGTTAGTTTACTGCAGCCTAACAGGGGCGCACATGTAGACACACAACCTTTACTGCAGTGATAATTAGTCTACTATGCAGTAAACATCTTGTGTAGACACACCCTGTTTGAATTATTACAAGTTTTATTTCTTTGCTTGTGCAACTGAGTAAAAAACCACCACAACATTTTTGATCTAACCAAAAATCTTAAAACTTTCACTGAGCATTAGAGTAGAGAAAAGATCTTTGATCATTTTGCACACTATGGCCTTGATTCATTCCTGTACTACAGCTAAGCTGGGGGCAGAGATTTAGGAAGATAGAACCACCTCATCCTGAGGACACCTAATTGCTTCTGTTCCTACTGCAGGTTAAGGCATTCTTCAGGGATGCTCTAACTTTTGCTACAGCTTCCACAGTTGTGCCAGTGTAAAATAGCTAGAACAACCAGTACTGTAGCAAGGAAGTTTGGTGCCCAGGGCAAGCCCGTGGCAGCAGCGCATCCTCACCCCACACACAGATCTGGGGGGCATGCACCCCCCCCCATGCTTGCCCAGGGGTGCACTTAGTGGCGGGAGCTGCCCTGCCCCGTCCCTGTCCGCCGCAAAATGAGCTGCTCATGGCTCCATTCCATTCCATGCCCTGCCCTGGCTGGGCAGCACCTGTTGGTGCCCCTTTGCTTTGGCGCCCCCGCCCCTCTGTCTTGCAACTCCTGATAAGCTTTTTCTGCTTTAATCACTTCCACTTCTGGGAAGCCCCTCCCTCCATCCCCCATTCTGTGATTATTCCCCTGGTGGGTCTTGGCAACTTGTTTATCAATCTATGGTCTCTGAAGATTAATGTTGCCGACATACTTGCTTTGGATGACCGGACTGGGCTGGAAAACAACATTTTATGACTAAAATGCTGCATACCTTCCAGCACAGATTATTAGCCAGCCCATCTCTGTACAATATACAATTACAAATTTATCTACTTAAAGGTTTCTTAAGTGACTTAACTTCTTGGAGCTACTTACAAACATTAATAGATGTACAGAGAGCTTCCTTAAAAGGGTAAGAACAGCTGCTCTTGCTGCAGCCAGAAAAGCCTCTGCAGCCAGACTATCATTGTGCTCTTAGGCTGACGGAGGAAAGGGGGAGAAGAGAACCACAAATGAGCTGTGGTCCATGAAACCAGAAGTGGTCTGCAGATCATGGGAGGCCCTCTTTGCCTTTGTAGTGTTTTCAGTGCAAAGTTGGTGACAAGGACACATGGCCATCCATGACAAGTTTTGAGGGGTGACAGTAGGCCAGTGGCCCAGAGACTTTGGGAGCTTCTGTCTTAGATGATGTCCTAGAAGCTCACAGGCTCTGGGCTGGGATGAACATAGCCAGTCCCAACAGTTAAAGCATTCTGGGAGTGCTTTTGCCAGTCCTAGGGAAGACAACCATAGGAACCAATGGCAGAAACACTGGCTAAACTTACCGTATTTACCCAAATCCAAGATGACTTAAGACAAACCCTATAGTAATTCAGTTCCATACATAAAATGTTATAAATCTGTTATAATTTTCCATATATAGAATCTATTCAGTGGCAGGTTGCCTTAAATCCATCTCCCCCCACTGCTGTGGCGGGAAAAACAGCAGCAGAGGGTAAGGGTCCAGACCCCCCATGCTCCCCTGCCACTTGCCCTCTGTGCCTGCCCCCCACTTATCCCCCTGTGCCTGCTCCTTGCCCCCCATGCCTGTGCCTGCCCCCAACCCTTTGCTCCCACTTGCAGCTTGCCTCCTGTGCCTGTGTCTAAACCCCATCCCCTGCCCCTTTTCCCCCCAGGCCTGTGCCTGACCCCTGCCACTTATCTCCCCTGCTTCCCTGCCCGCTTCCCCACTTACCTCCTGCTGCAGCTCTGCGCTTCCAGGGCAGTCAGCAGCAGCGGTGACCCAGCTCCTGGCCAAGCTGGGTTGGGGCTAGAGGGACCAGAATTGGAGTAGAAAGTAAGTGGGAGGGGAGGGCAGGCAGGCAGTGGGAAGGAATAGTGGGTGGGGGAAGGCTGCAGGTTTACCAACCCTAACTCATGGCCTCCCCTATATTCCCCCAACTGCGTGCCCTTCACCCACCAAATGAGCCATACTGGCCCTGGGTAGGCAGCAGGTCAGCATTGACTTCAGCCAAAACTAGAGCTCAGCAGCTGCCTGCCCTGAGCCGGTTCTCGAATCTAAGAGGAGGGGTTTGTTTCCCCATGCTGACCAGGGACAAAAACCTCATTTTGGATTGAACTAATACAGTGTTGTAGTGAAATATCAGAAGAGACATGATCTCATAGGAAATCAGGTCTCAGAGTATTCAGAGTACTTTCAAGACTATACTGAAAACCTTGAACTGCATCCAACAGCAAACTGGATTGCCAGTGCCTACTTGTGCATAGATGGGATTGGCTAAAACCACCTCCCATTCTTAAGATGGTTCAAGACTGGCCTCAGTTTCTGCATATAGTAGTTGCCAAGTTTAGATGAGACAAGGATGTAGAGCCCCTTTATGAGGTCACTTGCATCAGCCCTTACCTACTTCAATATGACTTTTTATTCTGCTTCGAAAACATTCCAAGGATATAACATTCAGAGACAAAAAAAAAAAGCCTTGCTTAAGCCTATAAACTAACATTTATTTCTTACAATCCCATGGCAAATGAAATATCATTTCAGATTTTATAGAACCTTTTGGGTTAATGCTTCATACAAATACAACCTATTATTGGAATTTTATTCTTGTTTCTTAAGTACACCCCTTCTGATTTCACCGTCAATGAAGCAGAATGTTGCTAGTATTCATTCTTTTCCTCTGTGTTCCCCTATAAAATGATAACCTGAGTTTGACTAATCTGCCCAGGCAACCAGAGTCAAACTTTTCTAACAGCACTTCTCCCTAGCACTGAAAAGCATTCAAGACATTTGCCTTTTGTTTATAGCTTTTTCCATAAATGATATTCAAATAAAATAGTTTGTGGGACAAAGTGTACTTCAGGGTAAACCTTCAAAAGCCAATACCAAAAACAGCTACGTACAAGCAGCCTTGTTTGGAATTGTTTCCCTCTTTGCTTTTCAGTGCCTGACCCCCTTCCAGTCCGTGTTCTTTAAAGAGTATTTGCATAGAGATCCTGCACATCACAGCAGGCCTCAGTCAATGAGACATTTCTCTATGTTCTTCTCCTACATGCCATTGCCATAATTCAGTAAAAGCCCAATGTCACACGTTAAATAGCTGAATTGGGTCAGTCATAATTTGGAATTGAGTCTGTTTGCTGTAGATTTTCAGAAGGCATGTGTGTGTAAAGGATATCACATGCTTCGTTCTTTTCCATATATTAGTATCTAAAATATTTGATTAAAACTGTACTTTATATAATCGCTTATACAGCACCTTTCATCCAAGGATCTCAAAGCACCTTCAAAATACGGTGTATGCTTCAATAACTGAGTTATTTTTCTCGTCTTAAATATGATTAAACTGAGGCTATGGATGCCTAAGTAACTGCAAGGTGAAGGAGGGTGAGGATTTGCAATTGCTCTGCAGTAACTGCCCATGTGCAGGCTCTTACCCCACAGTAGATGAAAGCTAACCCTTAGTATTCATACCACTCAGTGAAAGTGGGATGATGGAGTATTACTGCACATCAGCATTGCTGGATTACTGTAATGCTATAAATAGCTGCCTCTGCTCAAATGCCTTTCCTCCCCCTTAATTCTCAGCTTTCCTCATAGTTTTTACATTAACGTGGATAGATTTTTATATGCAGATCATAAGCAGGAGCTGGATTCTAGATTTCATAAGCAGCTGAATGGTACTTTTACATGTTTCATAAAATGTTTTACAAGGGGTGATTTGGTAAGCTTCACACATGTGAAGTACCATATTTACTCAAATCCAAGATGAGGGTTCCCCCACCCTGTTCAACATGAGGGAGAAGTGCCTTGTCTTAAATTTGTGTACAAGCGTGGGAAGGAGGAGGGGCACAGTGGCTGTGGCTCTGACTCTGACCCCAAGCCCAGGGTCAGAGCTGGAGCCTTAACCATTGCCCCCAACCCACCTACCCTCCCCAGCCTCTGCTCCTCCCCCCCAGCTCTTTGCTACCATTTACCTTCCTATCACAGGTCCAGCTCTGCCTGGACCCTGCTTCAGCCCAGGGGAGGGCACACAGAGCACAAGCTGCCTCCAGGCCCTGCCCAGCCATGCAGCAGTGGCAGGAGCAATGGGAGGGTCGCGG